CTCTGTTACTGTGTCTTTCCATAGTGTGGGACTCGTTGTATCAGGTACGTTATTCCCTCCAGATCAGCTGACGACCTGAATCACTCTCCATTGGGAAGCTGGACTCATCTGTGAAGAGAACAGACGCCCACTGTTGACTGTTTCAGGAGATGTGTTTTCTTGCTCAATATAAATAGGCACCTCTGTGTCCTCGGGCCAAGAGGACACAAACAGTTGGTCGTCTTGCATATAGACCTGTATTTTGCAGGTTTCTGAGCACTGTAGTAGCTGAGATTATTATTCCTGTTGCCACTAAATGATTTTCCATGAGCTGCGACACAGTAATGTTACTCCTCCTTCGGGCCGAAAGAGCTAAATAATGGTCTGACGCAGGTGCTGTAACCCTATGTCTGCCTGAAATGTGTCTTTTAGACACAGAATCCTCGGATTCAAACTGATTCCGTAGTCGGTGGACCACACTACGAGAGACACTGAGACGTATAGCAGTATCAGTTTGTGACATCCCCATTTTTATCCATTCGATCGCTCGCCACCTCAACGAATCAGGTAAACGACTTCCCCTGAACATTGATAGACTCTTCTTGATTTTGAATATCTCAGTACTACAGGAGCTCTATCGTCACAAATACTCGTGCTTTGTCAAGATTTGAACCTAGAACATCAGACCATACTTCCCTAAACAGCATACTGTCCCAAATGGTTATGATATATGTAAAACTTACAGCAGGATAATGCAGAAGAGTAACATGAAAATGCTTACGTATCTGATTCCTAATAGAATAACGCAAGTACGCAAATCATATCACAAACTATTTTTAACTATAATTATATATCACATCTTAATTGCTTAATCTTTAGGAGCATTGCAAATACGTTAGTCAAAGATAGCTGCGGCACAGATACTTTAATGCGTAGAGATAGTTGCTGTTGAGAGATTATTACTTTCACTCAATGTATTGCCATTACAAGGAACTATACTGGAACTAAAATATATAGCAATTCAAGAGAGAAAATCTCTTTCCACCGACAATCTCATAATTAGAAGCTATGAAGAATTTCAAATCTGTCAAAGATTTTATCAATTGTAGAAAATCACAAACTCTCAGTTTTGATATAGTGTAGTATAGTCAGTATAGTTCTGCACAAAAAATCTGTTCTGCTTTCTACTGTTTTGCTTGTGTACTTGCTATGCAGAAAATCCTATTGTATAGCTGTGCAGGCAGTGCTACTACACAGAAAGAGGGTTAATTAAAATTCTGTAGAAACTCTTAGATTTGTTTAGTTTCATGAGACAAAAGAAATCGACTCTGTGCTCATCGAGATTTGAAAAATGTATCTTTCAGTTGCTGCAGACCAGAGTTTCTTAAGCTATGGAGGTCTCGGGACTTGCAGTAGGGGGTCGCCAAAAATTTAGAAATTTTCATATTTCATTAACTTATTCTAATAATTTTATAATTACCAAATATTTTTACATAATGTATCTTAAAAGAGATTAAGGTAAGACAATACAATCAAAGAAAAAGCGAAAACGTTTCGTTTTTTTTTTACAATAGAAAAACGTTCGTTTTAATTTAAAGTCAATGATCTAAAACTAAATAGTATATTACATTACAAGTGAAGAAACTGATAGTTTCTCTCACGCGTGTGTCGGATTTGCGCAATGCTTATGGCGTCCCACAAAATGTTTGTAAATATTGGGAGTCCTCACACCAAAAAGTTTAAGAAACCCTGCATAGACTTTTACTTTACAACAGGCGCTTCAAGGTTGTAGTAAACCTTCTCTTGTTATTATAGTAACGTGTTTCATCAATATCACATATAGAATATTAGAGGATTTTAGCAAGTTAGAGTATTCTACTATTCTCCTCAGCAGTCATCATCATACTTATGACGCGAGTTAGGAAAGAGAAATAACCTTGAAATGCGTATTCTAAATTAACAGACTATTGCTGAATAGGCCACCTAACCGGTGTAGTAGTTAGAGTCGCTGACAGCCGTGCCAAAAGACCCGGGTTCGAATTCCGGAGAAGGCATAAATGTTTATAAATATATAGTAATCGTGCGGCATAGGGGCACTCTAAATATGCGGAGAGCCGAAAGTCCTCTCGAGAGGTTGCTGGTAGGGGAAGAGGGATGGGAAACCCTCGAACCCACCCCCTGGTGGTTCTTTCCCTCAAAATTGGGGGCTGAACTGAACTAAATTTCAGTGTCACTTGTAAGGCTGTTGCCGACGACAGGCGTAAACTTGCGCTCCTTGCCACAAGGAATTTCGTGGGCTTGGGCTGACTATAGGTCAGAAAAGTGAGCATTAGCAACAACAACAACAATTGCTGAAAGGAAATTATAAAATCACGCGACACAAAAACATACGTAGGAGAACGCAGTTACATGGAGAAAATGTTGCCCGCACTATTCTAAAAGCTAAAACTCCTAGCTCTTTCTTGCATTGATTAATAAACTCATAATCTAAAAATTAGTCTTTATGAAGTATTGGATGGTGCACTTGGACAAATTATGGCGAAATAAGAAAGAACTGGTACTGAAAAAATCTTATTCGCAGAACAATTATTATTTACATTACTGTAATTTACATATATCACAAAATAAAATAACAAATTCAAAAGCTTTCCAGATAATTTATCAAAAACGGGAGCTGATGCAGTTGTAATTTTATGCCATTTGGCAATTTATCTTCCTAAAATGCACTAAAGCAATTAATGTCTTCCGAAATCAAATGGATTGCTCTTCACATGATCTGCATTCAGAAACATATCATTTCCATCTAACATGTAGAATGGTACCAAATTTAATGATAAAACTTTTCTCCTAGTTTGAATTAAGTTAAAAAAAATAAAAAGACTTCCAAAAAGTAAGTTAAAACTATCAGTAATTCAACTCGCGAGTAATACCGCCACTTTTTTTTTCCATCTGACTCCATTTTCTACATTTCTATTTCCAGGGTTTTGCTGCAGAACTGCTGTAATGTTTTGCAGCCCCAGCTAAAAAGATTCGACGTTAAAAACGCGCCACTATTTTTTTTCGTTTGATTTATTTTTATTTTTCCTCGGCATTCGAATAATCAGCCAATCCCAAGGCACGGTGGGTTCATTAAAATATGCAACGAGTAAAGAAATAAATTTGTGCTGCTCTTTGGTATACATATATCCATACGTATTTGGGCCTTTTAATTTTTTTCTACATATCTAAAATACGTTGAGCGCTGCAACACACACAAAAAAATTTTTTTCTAGTAATTATGCGGACAAAGCTGGCTAGAAAATATATATTCCGTTGCAGCGAGAGCTTAAAAAAAAACTTCCTTTTTTCAGTTCAAAATAATGAAATGAGTTTTTCCTCCGAAAGATTTTTCGAAATTACGTTTTATAATTGCAAAAAGCAGCGTCAGGTATTACTTATTTTGATTTTCTTCTCTTTGCATTTTCTACCAGTTCGGTATTTTGTTGTTTATTACTTTAGGTTCAATACGTTTTAATCATCAATGCAGTTATAAAAGAAGCCTTTTTCAAGACCGACAGCATATACACAAACGACGTTAAAGGGGGGGGGACAACTACATTATAATAATGACGGTATACGCCGCTTGTTTTTAGCAAGCAGCTTAGAGCAATTTTTCTCAGAATATTTTCTTTGAAATCGTTGAAATAATGAATATATTTCGCCATAATTTTATCTCCAAGTTTTCTTAATAAAGAGGAGAACTACGCTTTGCCTTGCAGAATTAAGCTTAATTCGAATTTTTATACATAACCAAACGTTTATCAAAATCTCAAGAGGAGGAGAACATTTTTTCCTTAAAATAAATTGATTTTTAAATAAATTATGCCCTGGAAAGGAAAATGATTAATTTTTTAATATTCTATTCCAGCTCTAGATAAATATTTAATTATTAAATTTTCTATTAAATTTTGCAAAATAAGATCTTAGAACATGACACGAACTGCTGTTGCCATTATGCTGTGCATTTTCGTGTAATTATAGCTTTCGAATGTTCTTTATGTTTTCAAAATTTGTTAATTCTTTACAAAGAAACGGAAATCTATGATATTTTCAAAATTTGAGGGAAAATAAATCAATTCCACATCAGATATTAAAAATATTCGGACCGAATGGGAGGTTTAATTCAGTTCAGAAAATTTGGCTTTTATCGGATAATTATTGATGTGCAACAGAAGCTAATTTAAAATTTCTGAAGTAAGATAATTATTCTAAATAATTTCACTTAAAATGTGCTTAATATTGCTTCACGGTTTAAATGATTCATTTTGGAGTTAATTAATTTCTTTAAAAGTTTTTCTTTTATAATTAAAATAAATTGTTTTTGGAGAAAAAATTACTCTTGCTTTTTTTTATTTTTTATTTGCTTGCAAGTAATTCCCACGGCATATGTTTGAATCTGATTTACGAGTAAGGCATGCACCTTCCTAACTAGAGTGCCTTTGTAGCAGAGATTCACTTAAAATCTGTGGAGGCGGACGTTTTCTCAAGAGGCTGTGTTAAAGGAAGAAGGGCATGAGTTTTTTTTTTTTTTTTTTTTTGATTAAATCTTGCAATAAATATCGGTCGAAACTGGTAAATAAAGCTGAGGTTTTCACGTGCTTTGCATAAAATAAATGACCTAACCAATTTAATAAATACTACAAGCCTACACATGCTTGAGATATAATCTTCCCTTGTCCCAAAATAATTAAGGATATAAAATAGCTGTGACTATAATTTCGAAAATGACTAACAAATATACCCCAGCTCTTATTCAAACGGAGAAATCACCTTTTATGACTTACATTCCACTACAAGTAGGTGCATTAAAATCAGAAATACATTTTGGTAGAATATTGTTATTATAAGAAACTGTATAATATTTTTCAAATGCTTTCAAACTTTACTTAAGAATATAAATTAATTTAATTTCCAGCCATGATTCTTTTTTGTTAAATGGAAATAAAAATTTAATTCAGTATCAAATATTATATTCCATTTACCTGTAATCATAATGTGCTTCTTTTATCTCAACATGCGTTTTCGGAAGTTGCAAAATCTTCTTTCTAAAAATAAATCACCAAAAATTAAAAAGAAATATTTTAAGTGGAAAATACAACTAAAAAATTTGGAAAGCATTTCCTTTTCTTATAAATACGTTAGTAATGAAATGCATATATAAAACTAAAAAACATCAATCTATAATTGTCAATAGTCTAAATATGTTTTAAACAAGCTCCTTTACTTTTTTTGCTTATTTTGGGAAATATTGTAGAATTTTCAGTAATTCATATTCATTCTAAGCCGTATCTTTCCAAATGTCCATTTTTATCAAAATATTCAGAATCAGGGTAAAATAATAAATAATAAGGATAAGGAACAAAAGCAGAGTACTTTATATATATGAGATATAGAACCTATTTGTAGTAATATTAAATCAAATTGTATTACTTACACATTTTCTATCTGTGTAAAAGCTGAATGAATACTATCATTTATTTTTTATTGCTCAGCTATTTATAAAACAATAGATAGTTTTTCGAAATATCAGTATTTTTGTTCCGCGTGTATATTCAAGTATTTAAAAGGGTTCAAAATTATTATGAAGTTAAATACATACTTTCATCTGCATTTTATTATCTATGAATACATTTAAGTACTAATTCTTTTACTTCCCCCGTTTATTATTAGAAATAAAGTATAATTTCGGTTTGTTATCTCTAAGTATATAATTTCAACTCAAATTTATTAACAAAATTTTGGAGCTAATAGCCGAGTCAGAAGAAACATTGATCTATCAACTTAAATGTTATTTGAACATGGCAAAGAACATGAGGACTATCTGCTTAAGGATACAAATATCTTCGTGGAGGAATTCTAAAGAATCTGCCTGGTATTTACATTGAAAAGAAGCCACGAAAACCTATAATTCTGTCAGTGCATTCGCCTGGATTCGAACCGGGTCGATCTACTTGTATTCAAAGATTTTAACCACTCGAAAATTGGTGGAGTTAATTTCTGTGGTTAAATGCGAATGTGGTAGTGTCCCGCAAACTCGGCTCCTGATATATCGACATTCCGTATAACTCGAAAACATTTTAGGAACTTTTTTAAGATATGTCTAGGCCAAATAGAGCAAATATTACATACAGTGCGAAGACTTGAGTGTTCGTTTCCTGTAATTTTTGCTGTTTTCGCATTATTTCACTAATTCTTGGAACTGTATACCAAATTTCAAGATATGTTTTAAAACTTTCCAACGCTATTTACTTCCTTTGGTACGAAGAAAGTCAGGTAGCAGCTGGCCGCTGGCTCACATTCCTTTCTATTGTTGCCAAACGTTAGGAGACTTGTCTGAAGTTTTGTGACTGCATCTTACAAAATAAACTCACACCACTTCATTTCGGGTATCATTCCTCAGTTCACTTCCAGGCGTATAAATTTTAACATATTTTGGGGAACTTTTGATACTCTGTGAAGTGAAAATATCGTCGAAAAAGAAAACAAAACAAACTAACGTGTCAATGGAAATGAAACTAGATGCCTTAAAGAGACCGGAAAAGCGGAAAGTGCAAACAAAATTACCATGGATTTAGGTGTTGACGGACTATTTTGATAGGGTGGAAAAGAAGAGGTCCGAAATCGAGTCTTGGTGTGTGTAAAGAGCATGTACGGATAATTTAAAGGAAAGAAAAAGTATGAAAGGTGGTGAATACGAAAAAGTGAGCGAGGTGCTTTATTCGTGGTTCAGGCAGCAAAGGGAGCAGGAAACACCTATTTCAGGACCAATTTTGCAAGAGAAAGATTTTATGATAAAACTTTATGATAAATTTCAAGGAGAACCTGGATTTACTGCTAGTGCTGGCTGCCTCGATAGATGGAAAATGTGGTACGGCATCAGGCATTGAAAGTTTGTGGGGGTTCCCCTCCTTTTTCAAGCTAGCTACCTGCTAGCTTGAAAAAGGAGGGTATATCTGGAGATCAAATTTATAATTGTGAGGAGAACAGTCTGAATTTTCGAATTCTGCCTTCGAAAACGCTGACATTCAGGGAAGAAAAATCGGCACCTGGCTACAATAAAAGCAAGAGCAGAGTCACAATCTTGGCATGGAGCAATGCAATAGGCAGCCATAAGCTCAAACTATCGCTTATAGACAAATAAAAAACCCTCGTGCGTTTAAAAATGTAAAAAGTGCAATAATGGGACCGAAACCAACTATGTTCTTCCTTTTTGGTGCTGGAATCAGTCAAAGGCACGGATGAATGGAGCGATATTTAACGATTGGTTTCATCAGCAGTTCGTTACATCGGTGGAAAAGTTTTTAAAATAAAAAATTCTACCAAGGAAGGGGATTCTCATTGTAAACAATGCCTCATCCCATCCTGATGCAGAACAGTTATGAGACGAAGATATAAGAGCCATGTTTCTCGCTCCTAACGGGACTTCAATTTGTCAGCAAATGGACTAGGGCGTTTTGGAGGCATTAAAGAATAAATGTAGACCTAAGCTTCTTTCATATCTTGTCCTAGCCATGGAGGAAGCATGTGATATGGTGGAGAAACTGAAGAAAATAGATATGTTGGATGTTGTTAGATGGATAGCTCATTCTTGGAATGAAATTGAGGAGACAAGTCTCATTCTTTCCTCGAAAACGTTGCTGGTCTATTCAAGAAATGAATTTCACGAAAGCATAGGAGAGACAGAAAATCGTGAAATAGTTGACTTACTTAAGAAAATTCCGTGCTGCGAAGAAGTTACAGATGGCAATGTTGAAGAATGGATACGATAAGATGAAAATTGTGAAATTTTGGGACATGCAGAAAAAGTTGCACTGATGAAAGACAATGTGGATAAAAATGAAGATGAATAAGAACGAAGAGATTGAAGACAAGGGAAAACTAAAAATGATGACCCATAGTGAAGGACTGAAGACCGTTGAAGGAACGCTCAGTTACATGGAAGAACAAGGTGCATCTGGTATGGGCATTTTGTTCCTCCATCGCCTACTGGATGAAGCTGCATGACGATGGAATGTGTATGAGAGACAATCTACCATCACACGATATTTTTCTATCAAGAAATACCAATAATGTTTCTTCATTTTTGTATGTAAGCTTTTTACTCAATTATCTTAGGGTATTTATTCTTTTTATAACTCTTTTTGTGCTAGAACTTTACATAAAAAAACCAACATTAATTTAATTGTATGCTGTATTTTTCTGTGCAAAGTATTGTGCTACAAATGTCTAGAGTAATTTACAGTTAAATATTAAGAATTCTGAAAAACCCACCCCTTATTCCGTATCACTCAACTCGACAGTCTCTCGTTTAACATTATGTCGAGTTTGAGAGACTCTACTGTAGATAGAAGCCTTTGAATGTCAGAACTACTGTAAATGACCAGTACCTGGCTACGCAAAGAATCGGTTGCAGTATGGAGTTTTCACTTGTGTAGACAATACTTTCATTCTATCTGTAAGTGCATTTGGATGTTATTCAAGGTCACAAAGGTCATTACGGTCAACTCATGTTGTAACCAAATCAATATCTCTTTGCACTATGCAGTTATATCTCTGCAATTAAATTTCTTACATTTGATGCTCTGACTTGAAATTGTTCCAAAAAAATCATGGATTTGTGTTTTAAATGTTTTGCATTCTGAACTCTCTACATGCTTCTTAAGTTTTTTTTATTAACTTTTGATTATATAAGAAATCTTGAATATGAGTTTTTTATTAACCTACGGAATTTCGAAAATAACTAACAAATATACCTCAGCATATATGTATATGTAACTAGCATATCAAATTCTCGAAAATCGGAACGAAAAAGAAAATGGCGTATTAAAGATTAGAAGGTTAATCCTATTTTCTCCGTGTTAAAATATAAAATATTGGTAAAACGCAAATTAAAGGAAAAAAATGTACACTTCAAAAAAGAGAAAATAAAAAAACTAAAAATTTGTACATATTAAAACCAAAACAATGAAAAATAAAAATTTTTAGTCTCCTTTGTTTAATACTTAAAACAAAACTTGTTAAGGGAAAGTGTTTTGAAGCCTTAAACGAAGTTGATGAATGAGTGACGGAAAACATGTTTCATTACACTGAATTCCCTGAGACTTTAACCCAACTTTAAATTAATCCAACTTTCTTTTCAAGAGCAATTTATTTTAAAAGTCTCCTAAAATGCACTATATGAGTACTACATGAGTGCGAAGGCATGTAGTTCTTTTCTCTACATGCCTTCGCACTCATGTAGTACAAACAATTAGATACAATTGCAAAACAAAATATGTAAAAAGGCTTAAAAGGGCTAAAAAAAATCAATTTAATTTCAAAATTGAAAATTAAGTTGTACAGTCATAGTATATATAGCCTAACACTAGGGCTGGCTCATTTACGTGAAGGAAAAGAACTTTTTCGCGAAATAAAAAAGTCTGTCGAAGGAAAAAATAAAATTGTAAGTTCTGGAGCGAATCTTGCATAAAAAGGAGACTAAATAAATTACAATAAAAACTATGACTCTATTGAGAAAAAATTTGAATATGTAACTAGCAAATGCACCCTGGACAGAGCCAGGGCAAGGGTGGGCATTTCAGGCTAGCGGCTAAAAGAAGGCGTCAAATTAGCTGCGAAATTTTAGAAAAAATACATTTAAAAAATAAATTATGATTGATAACTTTCAACTTTGAGATCTATCTAGAAACACCACCTTGAAATATCTCATCTGAAACAATAAAGATAGCCCCACATTTTTGAGCATTTTTGTATTCGTGGGCTTTTCCTTAATCAATTCACCAAAGTAAATCAGAAACTTAATTAACTGTGGGGAATTAAATATTTAAAGTGAGACAGAAAAATTCAAGCATGCACTTTATATAGTTTTTAGCCCACTGCTATATATTTATACAAAGTTAAAATTTATCTAAGACATAAAATAACAAGCCATTATAATGTACTAAAACTAATAATCTCCTTAAGCAACTCAGTTTAAAGTTTTACATATGTCTTCGTAGAACTTAATCCTGTCAAAAATAGGTAAATAAAAAATTTAAATCGAAAA